GCACTGGGGCCCAGGCGACGGGAGTAACTCAGTAGACGCGGCGGGCACGGGGGCCCAGGGTACGGGAGTAACTCAGTAGACGCGGCGGGCACGGGGGCCCAGGGCACGGGAGTAACTCAGTAGGTACCGACTGTGCCCACCAACCTGCTAAGTGGCTGGAACAGGCCCGGGGGCTCGTGAGAGGAGTCGGGCTGGAAGCCCTGGGTCAGGCACAGAGCAGGGACGAGGCCCAGGGCGGGTGTATCGGCGAGTGGGGAGGCGTGTAGCAAAGGGGGGCACGGGCCGGGGCGAGAGGCAGGGTCAGACCCGTTCCAGAGCACCGAGTGCGGGCAGAGGTCAGACTGCGGCAGTCACGGCTGATGGGCCAGAGGAGCGGGCTAGACATGTGGGCCTGGGACGGACGCCGGTCGAGGGCCCTGACGATTTCTTAGAAAGGTCAGATTTTCAGCAATCCGCGCTTCTGAAAGTTCGCGGAAAATACGTTTGATGAGAAAACAGTGCCTGATGCAAGGGTAAGAAGTCCCTGAGGAGGCTGTGGCCAGCAGCCGGGCAACTGAATGTTTCAGACTGGCTCCAGGGCCGGGGCTGCAGGGGCTGCAGGGCTGCGGGGGCCCAGGGCCGGGGCTGCAGGGGCTGCAGGGCTGCGGGGGCCCAGGGCCGGGGCTGCAGGGGCTGCAGGCTGGCGTTTACTCCTCTGGCCCAGGCCTCCATAGGTAAGATATATCCTCCTCTCAGCATCTTTTCAACCTGAACAAGAAAGGCCCACACACTGAGGCGCCCGGAGCCTGGACGATTGCGTCAGCACTGAAGAGCAAGCTCGGTACCCAGGGGACGGTGCTTATCAAAGCCCTACCGTTTGCCTCGGTGCTGCGGTTCTGAGCAGCTTACAGTTCCATCCTTATCTGATTTGCCATACATGGTGTTTATTTAACCAGAACATTACAGTTCTTTAAAACAAAGCGTGCCTCCCCTCCACCACCTGCGCCCGTCCGCTCACACAGGTGCACACATGACGTGGCGTGTGGAAATGCCTGCCATGAGGCTCAGCCAAGGGCCCACCGTCGCGGTGAGGCAGCAGTCAATTTGCTGGATTATTCCAGAAGGGGACCGTGCCCGAGCGGGGCTGCTCCCCTGCTGGGTTTCCACTTCTGTCCGCGACGAGCAGGGGGGTTTGCTTTCATTGTCTGGAAGTGTCATTTCACCGCCCAGGACCTAGCTTCCTTCCCGTTTACTATGACAAAGGTGCTCCATAAAATGACAGGGAGGGGTACAGGACAGTGAGTGGGACAGGTGGGCAGCAGCTGTTGGGGCCACTCCGAGAGTAAAGAACTTACCTCGGTTTTAAGAGAATCGAGTGTATCTTTAAATGATTCTCTTCTTCCTCCTAGCTCCCAAGCTGGCTTACTAGAGGCTCTGTTTCTACTTCCGTCAATTTAGAAACGCGAGTGAATCCACAGGGTGGTTTCGTTCCCCGGAGTGTTGCTGCTAAGACCCGTGCCCCCTTCACAGACACCTGAGACGGGCCTCGACCTGCTGCGACCCGGCGCCGCACACTCCATCGCTTCGTTGAAAGAAGCTCGCCTGTCTGTGGCGGAGCGCGTGAAAACAGCATTTTGCTGAGAAAACTAGGACCATGCGTCCTTGTGCCAGGGCGATCCCCCATCGGACTGCACGCTCACCATGAGTAGAGTGACCACAGAGACGCTGGGCGACTCGGTTCACGCTGCAGATGCGAGCCAGGCCAGGGCGCCTCCCTGCAGGGCAACTGGGCACAGGCACACAGTGGCCTTGGCGTGCCCAGACTGAGCCGCCTGAGGCCCGTGTCATTCGGGGAAGGGGCACTGTTTCCGTGCACACAGCCCAGGGCGCCTGGGTGGGGCTGGGCTGCACAGGGAGGGGCCAAGTACCTGCTCAGCGCACCCGAGACGACCCTGTTACTAAGGCGGGTGTGGCCCGAGGCTCAGGGCACGCCGTGGGACATGCTCGCCTCTCAGTGCCGGACGTGTCCAGCTGTGCCAAATCCGCTCCTATCCCTTCAGTGGCTCAAGTTGGTAGACTGCCTTGGAGCCCCCATGGCAAGCCTCAGCAGGGGCCAGCAGTCACTCCCTCTACCCAGCTGGCAGGGTGTCCTGTCAGGACACCTTCCTGGTGAGCCCACTGCCCGACTCCCACGAGCCAGCCACGTGGTAGTCAGTGTCCATAGGACGCAGCAGCCTGACCCGAGGTTCCCGCCTTGTCCAGGCACCCAGAACTGCACTTGTCCCTTCTCTCCAGGTCGGCCTCTCCTCACCTGCCACCTGGAGCAGGTGCACTGGGCAGGGAGAGGCTGAGGGCCATCCTGGCTCCTTGGATCAGCTTGAAGGAGTGTGAATGGAAGTGGGGCCACAGGAGGTAGGGCGGCGCGGGCACTGAGGGGCGGTGTGCATGGGCACAGGTGCTGACCGTGTCTAGCCATGGCAGGTGGCTGCGAGTGGTGTCCTCGGCTGTAGCAGGCTCTGCCCAGATGGTCACTGAGGAGCAGGCTGCACCGGCATGCGGTGTCCTCGTGGCAGGGAGCGGGTGGACCTTCGCTTCCATGTCCACTCCTGGTGGTCACTGCCCCAGATGAGGGAGCAGTCAGGGTCTCAGTGTGTGCTCGCCGTGTCTGTCTGTCTGTCCATCTAATGCCAGAGCTGCTCCATGTTTTCAGTGTCCTAGTGTGGCCCTCCTGGCACTTCAGAAAGCACGATGACAGGGACCAGACAAGGGTTGCGGGACAGCCCTGCGATGACACCCGGGGTGGCTGCTGCTGTTTCAGGGCCAGTGGGACTCCCAGACCGCTGTCATAGCGTGGCTTCTGCAGTAGCACACGTGTGTGACAGCCATGCACACACCCACATGACCGTGGTACGTGGCTGCGCGCACTGAGCGTGGACGGCCCGTGATTGAACACGGGCGATCTGTGGCGTGCTGCCCACCCCCTCCCAGCTGCCTCCTGTTCTGCCTGCCTCTGGTCATCAGGGAAGCCTGCTCTACCGTGTGCAGGCCTGTCCCCGTGTGCGTCACTCCAGGTGTTCACTCTGTACTTCGCACGGCAGCGCTGCTGGTTCGGATGTGCAGATGTGCCCGACCTCCACCGTGGGGACTCGCCTCACTCGTTTCACGCCGGCGTCCTCTGGGCACACCCCCGGCCACCTCCCTCCTTGTTCACCTCCTTTCTGGCTGGAGCTTGTTCTTGGCTGGTTGATTCCATGCAGCTTAACTAGCTCCTGCCAGCCCCAGGGCAGACTCGTGACCTGATAGTTCTCAGGCCACACTGCCCGCAGCGAGACCCTGTCCCGTCCTTGGAGCCGGCTGCGCTCCGGGCCCGCTCCGGCACGGTCAGCCCAGCTCACCGCTCCAACTCTGCCGTTGCAGGCCTACATGGAAGACCACCTGAAGAACAAGAACCGGCTGGAGAAGGAGTGGGAGGCCCTGTGCAACTACCAGGCCGAGCCCGGCAGCTCGCTTGTGGCCCAGCGGGAGGAGAACGTGCTCAAGAACCGCTCCCTGGCCGTGCTGACCTGTAGGTACCACCCAGCGTCCCGGGGAAGCCACGGAGTCCTGGGCAATGCCCACGCCCTCCTCCCATGCACCTCCAGTCCCCGTGTGACCCAGGGTGGAGCATGAGTGCACATGTCCAGGGACTCTTGGGCCCTGCGGTTCTGGCTCTGCGATGGGTGACCTGAGACACATCCCTAACCCCTCCGAGCCTTTCCCTGAGCTAGGACCACTGTCAGGCCCTTGTCCTCGGAAGGCGACCGCGTGGGGATGAGGGGCTGAGTAGCATGGAGCACTGCCTGCCGCAGTCTGCACCCTCCCTGGGCACTGCCCCACCCAGCACCCGAGCTCCTCCCAGAGAGCTGTGGCCAGGAGACGCAGCCCAGCAGCAGCCCTGGGACCTGCCTGCGTGACATGGCTGAACTGTGGCCCGTGCCCACTCAGGTGCCCTTGGGGCTCATGGTCCAGCGTCACGGGGAGGAGGGGGAAGGCTGAGAAGACAGCACAGCGCCCGTCCCCCTTCGCGCTCTTGCTGGAGCCCCTGCGGGTCTCACGGGTTCCAAGGAAGGCCTAGCCCGACTGACACCCAGACCCGTCACAGAGGCCGAGGGGTCCCAGGTGTCCTTTCTGCCAATGTCAGACGCAGACAGACCTCATGCACACTGATGCCGTGAAGTGAGCGGCTGTGGCATGTGTGCACATGCGTGTGCAGCCACCCCGCCTTCCCTGTCGCCCAAGAGGTGCTCGTGCGTCGGACTCAGTGCCCCAGATCCGGTGGCGTCTGCCTGCAAGCGCGCAGCTGCCAAGGCCAGAGCAGTGGCCCCAGCCGGGCAGCCAGGCGTCCCCTTGTGCCCGCCCTGCACAGCCCTCCAAGCGGTACGAGGACAGCCTAGGCCACCTTGCGTCAGGCCACCTGGCCTTGGCGCCTGGCCCGGGGGCAGCCGCCCTCCGTGAGGCCTGGCCATGCTCCTGGGTGTGGCTTTCTTAGGTGACTCTGAACAGACCAGGCCCCATTTCTATGACCACCGAGGCTCCTCTAACCAAGAGTGCTGAAGCCAGAGCCCAACACTGGGGCCTGCACCTGCTGTGTTTAGACGAGAAGCCCAGACTGCCAGCTAACGGACTCGGAGTGCCCCTCTGCGGGTCAGGGCCGAGGGCGGCTCCTCTGGGTCTGGGAGGTGGGAACGGGGCGCACACTGGAAGTCGGTGAGTGTGCATGTGTCTGGGCAGAGAACTGGTGTGAGGGGAGGGGACTGCATACAGATGCCCCCTGGGCAGGGTAGGCTGGGGTTAGGGAGCGTGAGGACCTCTGGACAGAGAGACGAGGGCTCCTGGCCGGCGTCACGGTGGGCGCAGTCATAGCAGAGAGCAGTGTGGCCCCATCCCGGGTGCTGGGACACCACCATCCAGGTCGCCCGGCAGTGAGACCACATCCTGCCCACACTTGGGCTCCAGTGTGAGCTCCATGCCCACCCCCGTCTGGAGTAAGTGGGTCTGCACCTTCAGGGCCGGGAGACGCTCTTAGGCCAGTGCGCCTCACCTCAGCCCAGTGAGAGCCCGTGGCCAGCTAGGGCTGCAGGGCCCAGGGCAGAGAGGAGGCCGCGAGGCCGGGTGAGCGCGTGCCGTTCCCTCTGCAAGGCAGGGGTCCGGGGAGGAAGGGCACAAGCTGAGTCTGCTCCAAACAGATGTGCCGGCCACGGCCGCGGTCTGCGAGTGGTTGCTCCCCCGCCAAGGGACCTGCCCCTGCTACACACTCGCAGTTTCGGGCCAAGCCCAGCTGCAGCAGCCTCCTCACAGCAGCGGCCTCTGCCCGCAGGTCGCACCCTGGGGTCGGCTCAGACCAACGGGGAGGCCAGGGAGGACGCAGGGGGCTGCCAGGCCGTGTGCAAACCCTGCGCCATTTTGTAGAAGGGACTTGAGCGTCCAAAGGGCTCCTTGAGCCCACCCCTGCAGAATACTGAGTGGCCAGAGGATTTTGCTCTTTAAAGATCAGTACGTGAACAGGTCTCAGACCAGTGTCCGAGCTGGGCCCTCTGCTGCCGCCACCGTGCATCCTGGGCATGTGTGCTGGCTACGAAGGCGAGCAAGAAGGCGAGCTCGTGCCGCGGCTGCGCTGCCCCACCCGCTGTGATCCCGAGCAGCCTGAATGCCCGCCTCAGTCGGGAGGGCGCGGTCTGTCGGCATCAGGAAAACGCCCAGCAGCTCTGCCCGCAGCCCTCTCGCTGGCTGAGGGCTCGTTCTCGCTCTCAGGAAGGGGTGAGCAGTCTCCCACAGGAGCACCCTCGCAGGGGAAAGGCTGTCTGAGCCCCTCCCCAGGCTGCAGCGGCAGGCCCCCCCCCCC